TACTGGCTGAGGTAGAAACAGGAAAACAAGCTACATTTTAATGGTACTGGCTGAGGTAGAAACAGGAAAACAAGCTACATTTTAATGGTACTGGCTGAGGTAGAAACAGGAAAACAAGCTACATTTTAATGGTACTGGCTGAGGTAGAAACAGGAAAACAAGCTACATTTTAATGGTACTGGCTGAGGTAGAAACAGAAAAACAGGCTACATTTTAACGATACTTGCTAAGGTAGAAACAGGATATCAGGTTACATATTAATGATACTTGCTAAGGTAGAAATAGGAAAACAGGTTACATTTTAAACTCAGCGATCTAAATGATAGTAAATATAAATATCTTCATATTTCAAGTCACTTGGTCAGCACAACTTAGTTATTTTCAATATAAATATCTTCATATTTCAAGTCACTTGATCAGCACAACTTAGTTATTTTCAATATAAATATCTTCATATTTCAAGTCACTTGATCAGCACAACTTAGTTATTTTCAGAATAAATTCCCGCACAAATCACCGCTAGTCATGATGGCTCTGATTACTAGATTGATTTTGTGTGTGTGTTATTTGAATCAACATCTAAATTAACTATTATTAACCCTAATATTACTGTCTGAAAGTCCTAATACCGCAATTAATATATTTTAAAACAATAATGCTCTCCTAAACAATGTGCGCAGAAATTTTAAACAATGTTAACATTTTATATTGTCTTCTTAAAGAATATGGAATTTTTATCTGAATTTCTCATTTTCTCAAGTCTTTAACGATTCTATTATTCTCTATTTTTAAACGAACTGGCAGGTTTACATCAGATGTTTCAAGATATGTTTTAAGAATACAAAAATGAAGAACTATATATTAAAGTTTAAACCATATTGCACTGGGGACTCTATATATATATTGTATGACCCAGTGTCGTTTGTACACGTTCATATTTTTCTGACCGTGAAATTTCCAAAATAAAAACAAAACAAACAACAACAACAGTACCAAGCGCCGACATTACATAAAATATAGGCTCTAAACAAGCCGATTTTAGAACACAAAGTGACGAGTGACATGAACGGATCTAGAATCTTAAGTTTTTGGTCATGGCGGTCTTGTTACAACACCTCTCTCCCTACCCATCACAAATCCGACGATATGACGAAACTCAGTGACATAAGAAATATTGTTGATATGGCTGTGGTAAAAACACACCCGTTGTTAACAATATAATTATATGTTCTGGAAACTGTCATATTTACATATTCATCTCTTGAGATATCAGAGCAATAAAATCGTTTTGTTTTCTACCCTACATTTGTTTTGTTGTTAATTAAAAATATCTATATCGAACACTATAAGCAATTACGAGCAAAATATGAACACGCCATCCATGCGATTATAGATAAAGCTACAGACATACAAAGAACAATAAATTTTTGTCCCAACCACGCTTTTCGCTCCCTCTAGCTGCGTGAGTTGTAACCTTGAATAATATAATATAATGCCAATGGCGCGCGCTCCCTTATCCGGCCCCGCACTGGTATGCAAATTATTGTTTTCATCTTTCTGTCTTACTTGCTTTCGCTCATGACTTTTTTATTCGACATATTACAAATAGTTCTAAACGTCCTACAACAGACAGTTGATATATGCAACTGGGAAACACGTGAGTAAACTCACAACGACTACTATCGCATCATAAAATAAAGAAAAGAAAATCCTACCTCCATGCTGCCGCCAAGCATCGTGGTCCAGAGAGCCGTTGACATGCTCCCTAAATCGGACGTGAAAGGCAACACTCACCGCGCGGCACGCTCTCAGTAAATACAAATATATCGCTCCGCGCTGTAAGGCGTTGCGCTTATATAAAAGTAGTTCTTCGCCCCACCTAAATTATTATTTAAACAGCATAATAATAAGTTGCCTTTGCGTAATCATCTTAGAAAATGCGATACAAATATCAATTTTCGGCTTAGTTAATCTGTCGAGAAACAAGTCTTTGTTGCGTAATAAACTATAAGAGCGTCACATCTATGACGTCACACGCACCTGCCGATTAGAGGTGAAAACCAAATTACTTGAACGTCCAAACGGAGTGAGTATTATAACACCAAGCTGTCCTGAAGTTGGGTATTCGGTAATTTTATCGTTCGTGAATAACATATTATTGGCTGCCACAAATTGGTTATTATAAAAGTATTACGAATTTTCCCAACTTAAAACATGATAAACATACAGCGTTAGTTCACTATTACGTGATTTTTAATTAAGTAAAGAAATCATCTATCACATGTACTGAATTTACACAGCTTTTATTTTCTCTCCTACCATTGGTTGGTGGATACTCGATCCATGTGACTATCCGTGGCTTCATGTATATTCGAGCCACGTGAATATCTACAGATTTATGTATACTTGAGCCATGTGATTGCTTGTTTATGGTCTTATGAGACCATGGATCGCGTATTAGAAAAAACAAAAACTTTGTTGGTAGTAAATATAATACATTTATATATATACACAAGCCTAATACACGTAGTAAAACTGATCCGACTTAAAGAAGTTGTCCTGCCCATAGTTTTTTTTATATGTTTGAATAAAGCTGTGTGACAAAATTGTAAAAATCATAGCATAAGTGATAGTTGAATTGACTTTTCAAAGACCTCATTAGCTTTAATTAAAAGGTCCTGCACACAGTATTTGGAACAGTTGAATAGAGTTATTGGAACAATCATTAGACTTAATAAAAATGTCCCGCACACAATAACTGAATAGACTTATAAAAACTCTATAGACTCAATGAGGATGTTCTGCATACGACATTCGTAAAACTTGAATATTTTTTATAACTCATTAAGCTTATTAAGAGTCAGAAACAAGAACGACGTTTTTTGGTACAATGAAAAATAAAATATTTATTAGATATTTGAGCCTACTAGATTCGGTAACAATCATCAAAACTAGCTGTATGAACATCATGACGAAACTAGTAACACAATATCAAAACTAGCTGTATGAACATCATGACGAAACTCAGGTCTAGTGTTTACGCAACTAGTTTCGATATTGTGTCACTAGTTTCATCATGAAGTTCATACAGCTAGTTTTGATGTTAAGTCACGAGAGTTTCATCATGATGTTCATACAAATAGTTTTGTTGTCGAGTCACTAGAGTTTCATCATGATATTCATACAACTAGTTTTAATGTTGAGTCACGAGGGCTTCATCATGATGTTCATACAGCTAGATTTGATGTTGAGTCACCAGGGTTTTATCATGATATTCATACAACTAGTTTTAATGTTGAGTCACGAGGGCTTCATCATGATGTTCATACAGCTAGATTTGATGTTGAGTCACCGGGGTTTTATCATGATATTCATACAAATAGTTTTAATGTTGAGTAACTATACACTATTATAACTTTGCAAAAACTATAAATCTATTTGCTAATTTCATATTTGATTCTTCGGAAATAATTCATGATTTATCTACACAAAAAGTATATAAAATAAGACTGTCCCCATTCTCAAAATACAATAAAAATGGCTTTATTTCATAATTTTAGTGGCTTTATTTTTTTACAACATTTGTGTAAAAACTTACACAAATGTTGTCTTAATCTTAAAATGATTTATCTAAACATCTGTTTTTTCAATAAACGATTTTTTACAGGTGGAGTCTCATTTTCTGTTTATTGGAAAGATTTTTAATCAGGTTGATGGCTTCATTCTGGGATCTGAAGTTCTTCCCGCCATGGCTAAATTATTTTTTAAGTTATTATGAGAAGCAGTAATGGAGAATGTCTTGTCACTTTTAAACCACTATACTATATGTTTTTTGTGAGTGACGCGTTTATTATTTACCTGTTACGAGACCACCTAGATAAATTTCAATAATATTAGAATAATTAGTATTTAAATAATAAGTTCACTGTCGAACACGATCGTGATTGAATCCTGTATTTTTTTAATATTTTGTTTGTTTTTGAATTTCGCGCAAAGCTTCACGAGGGCTATCTGCGTTATCCGTCCCTAATTTTGCAGTGTAAGACTAGAGGGAAGGCAGCTAGTCATCATCACTCACCGCCAACTCTTGGGCTATTCTAATCGAATAGTAGGATTTGACCGTCACTCTTATAATGCACCAATGTCCCAAAAATTGAAGAGCATGCTTTTACGGCAACGAGATGCGATCCATGAGCCCGTGGGTTATAGTACGTCACACTAATCAGTAAGCCACGCATGGGCCCGTGGGTTATAGTACGTCACACTAATCAGTAAGCCATGCATGGGTCCGTGGGTTATAGTACGTCACACCAATCAGTAAGCCATGCATGGACCCGTGGGTTATAGTACGTCACACTAATCAGTAAGCCATGCATGGGCCCGTGGGTTATAGTACGTCACACTAATCAGTAAGCCATGTATGGGCCCGTGGGTTATAGTACGTCACACTAATCAGTAAGCCATGCATGGGCCCGTGGGTTATAGTACGTCACACTAATCAGTAAGCCATGCATGGGCCCTAGTATTTTGTGTATTATACGCACATTCTGTTGGTTTTGCACTTATGACTTTTTAATATTAATTTTGTCATACTTCGAGAGTATAAAATTGTGAGTAGTTATAATTTATTGCATGAAACTTTTCAGGTTAAATAAATTTCGTACCATTGCTATTGATGATACAGTTCATAAATGTGTAAAAAAAAATCTGTTACCCCTCAGGTTGAACAGTCGACTGTCCCACAGAAACCAGTAGTTGTTGGTTTACCTTACACATACCAACATCATTTTGATGTAAAGAGTAAGTTGACTTACAGACCAGTTCAAGTCTTGAAACCTGTTTTTTGAACAAAGGATTTATTTAGAACTAAAATGTGATTCCCGAGAACAAGCGAGCTTTTGTTTTGTACAAGTTGTCATGTCCTTGCCGCGTTAAGGAGTGTGTTGGATCTAATGCTAGGTGCTGTCAACAAGAATAAAATAAACACGCCAATAAGACTGGGAAGTACATCTAGTAGCCCACCACGTATACAGACTGGATGTGATGTTACGAGTGCAACCTTAGCACAGGGAATCAAGCTGAGGATGAAGAATTACAATGTCTTGTTGTTGCAGATCTGAAATCTGTCTTAAATCAAGAGTTCCAAATAATCTTTCCTCTTCAAATTTTAAGCTATTTTCCCTTCTTTCATTTATATACCAATTGGTAATTATATTTTTTTAAGGCCTTATTAATTAACAGAGTTGGTTTGCTTGAAATATTCTAGAGATGAAAAAAATGAATATTGTGGCCTGAGCATAGTTTAAAAAGTTCTGTTTCCTGGAGTTTCTGTATTAGAATGAACGTAGAAACAAAACACAGGTTTAATGATTTTTGTTGCTCCAGGGGATGGCACGTTACGAAACAAAGTAAGGTAATAATAATAATAATTATCATACAAATAATAATAAGTGGAATACCTTTTATTTTTCATGTCACTAAATTTCCGCTGTTACTTAGATTAAATTATTGGTTTTCAATATCTCAATACAGACAAATATTTTGAACATATTTAATCAAATGTTTATACATGAATTGCGTATTATTAAAACAGTGTATGGAAAACATTTGGGGGGGGGGGAGGAAGCGTGTCCACCCGTGGCGAATGGACACAATACCATTTTTTTTCTGCTCAA